TTTTATACACTCTTGAAAACTATCAATCAATCTCCTCCATCATTTCTTTAATATTAAAAGTAATGACGGATCCAAAAATTTTAAATAGTGAGAGCAATATTTATACATAAATTTGTAGCATTAAATGTGTAATTTATATTTTTTTGAAATATAAATATATATCAAATTATTCTTTGAGATTTCATATTTTAAAAATATTGAATGATTTTCTCATTTTCAACACTTTCATCTCTTTCTATATCTCATATAAAAAATTTGACCTTTTTTCATTTTTAAAATAGTATATTATGAATTTAGGTTAATCATCACTCCTTAGTTTCTTTACCAACTTGACTTAACTATAATTAGTACTCTCATTATCTCATAATAATTGGTACTCTCATTATCTTATAATAAGTATGATTTTAGGTTGTTCTACATATGCTAGAAAAAGAAATCTTGTGATTAATCTTCTTTACTATAAACAATACAATACAATATTCACTTTCTAAAAAATATTATGAAGGGTATAAATAAAAAAATTAATATTATATTAACATAACACTTATTTTAAGATTTATTTTTATTCAAACATGACTCTTATTACGAGCCAGAGTATATTATATATACTGTGAAGAAATACTTCAAAAACTTAATATATTAACTTTGACTTTTTTAACAAAATAAAAATATAGAAAAGAGTGAGAAAATTTAGATTTAACATGGAAAGTGTGAGTACATTATTATAAAGAGTGAGAACATTTAGATTTCAAAAAATCTTTTTTTAGTTTTTATACTCAAATTTTGTTAAAGAATCTATCAAATATTGCTACCTAAAATCTATCTACTGACGCCTTTATCAGTAAAGATATCACATTAAATTCAGTTAAAATTATATTACTATCTCAATTTTTCATTTTTATATATGTTATTGATGACTTAAGAGACTAAAATGATATTTTTAAAAATTATAGAAACTAAAAATAATAATTTTAAAATTAAGAACATAAAAATATATTTGAATCTTGATTATATATATATATATATATATATATATATATATATATATATATAAATTAAATATAAAGAATGTTAGTGGGGGAAAATGCCCCCACTTTCATGCATGTGGATCCGTCAATGATTGAAAGTGGATGGACCCACAACGCTTGGGAGAGTATCAACCAATTACATTGGTAGATTACATGATAAGATACTAGCAAAGATATTATCAAAGAGAACGAAAAGGGTTTTACCAGATTTAATTGATCAGTCATAAAGTGCCTCTTTGGAAGACAAAAATTTGATGTACAATGTGATGATAGCAAATGAAGTAATAGAAGAGGTGAAAAGGAAAAAAAAAAAAAAAAAAAAGGTGCATCCTCTTAAAAGTAAATCATAAAAAGGCCTATGATTTTGTTAGTTGGGATTTTTTTGATATATTTGCTACAAAGATTGAGTTTCTACAAAAAAGTGGGTTGGGTGAATTAATTAGGAGTGTCTTGAGATGTCAATAGAATGGAAGTCTAACAAGGGAATTCAAATTACGTAAGTAGTTATGGTAGGGAGACTCCTTAGCCCCCTTCCTCTTTAAAACTATGGCAAAAAAAACTTGGTGGAATAATGAGGGTAGCAATGAAAAATAATTTATATGCAGGTTATTTGGTTGGGAAAAGAAAAGATACAAGTTAATTCGCTGAAATATGCTAATGACACGATTTTTATGGGAGAGACAAAACTCAACAATATCATTACTATTAAAAGCATGTTGTGATGCTTTGAGTTATCTTGGAATTAAAGGTAAATTTCTCTAAGAACAACTCTAATGTGCATGACACTTTTTATGACGAATAAAAATGACTTTTTATGTTGATTTTAAACATGTCATAGAACCCAAATGACATAGAAAGTAATTGACTTTTTATGTTGATCATAAAAATAACCAACATAGAAAGTCTTAACTTTTTATGTCGGTTATAAAAATAACCAACATAAAAAATCTTTTTAAAGTTAATGAATGCTTCTTCAATGTGCTCTTTCCCGCGTCTTTTTGTATTCCATCGTCGCACCTTATTTTCTTCTCATTGTCGCATCCCCTAATGTTTCATCGTTGCACTCTTTCTCTTTTATCAAATTTCTTCACGTTTTGCCGTTGCACTTTTTTCTCTCATCGTATTTTGTTGCCATACTTTTTCTCTCTTGTTGCATATTTTTTTCTCTCTTTAGACCAACAAAATCAAACAACACCAATGTCATACATGAAATGAATGAAAAAAAAAAAAGATAACAATAATGAACTTGGGAGCACGAGAATGAATGATATATTACGAAACGAGAAAGAAGAGGAGAAGAGTACGAGAAAGAATGAAAGGTTTCACTAGAAATCACCTCAACAATCATTGGTGTATCAAAAATCACCTCTACAGTATACAAACACTTATCGCCAAAAATCACCCCGATCACTTGAATGAAGAAGAAGATAAAACAGTAGAGCACGAACTAGGTTTGCACTCTCACTATTAATAATAAGAAGACATTCTATGACTAGTGATAATTTACCTATCATAGAATATTTCTTTCTATAATCGGTAAGTCAACACTCGTCACAGAAAGGTTGGAGTTAAAGGCTGACCAACACATTGTATGACGAGTGTTGACTTAGTCGTTATACAAAGAAACATTCTATGATGGGTAAGCCAACACCCGTCATAAAATATTTTGACATATTTACAAGTATGTCACTATGTCACTTTCAATGTTGTGTGGATAACACCTAACATAGAAAATGCATCAAAAAATCTTACTTTCACACTTGTGCAAGCTTGGTGCAATAGGGGTGGAGTCAATAAATTTAGAAAAGTTTGTAATTCTCTTAAACTACAATCTAATGTTTGTACCTTTCTCATATTTTGGCATCTCGATTAGAGCTAACCCAAGGAAAGGACAAACCTATAGGCCTATTATATTGACAAATTCAAAAACCTCTCTTCCTCGAAAAATAAGGTTTTATCTATAATTGGAAGAGTTTGTCTGATAAATTATATATTATCTACTCTTCTTCTGTATTTCTTATCTTTCTACAAGGTACCTAAAGATGTGGTAAAGGAATTGGTGAGAATCCAAAGGTGTTTCTTGGGGGAGTAGAGGAAGGAAGGAAAATTTTTTTCATAGATCAAATAGGGAAGGATTTGCAAACCAAAAAGTCATGGAGGGTTAGGAATTAAAGACTTAGAATTTCTTAATGACTCACTACTAGCTAGATGGAGATGGAATCTATATATTGAAAAGGACAAGCTGTGGGGAGAAATCTTGGAATCTAAACATGGAGGGTGGAAAATTTTATGCGAGGGAGATGTGTGTAGCTTAGCATCAATATAATATGGTGGAGAGTGTAACACCCCAATTTCCTTAAAAGGATATTTTTTATTAATAATGGCATTTTCGTAATTATTGATGGCATTTTCGTAATTTTAATAAAGGGACAAGGGTATTTCTGGGTTTCGGAACGGGCCGTTCCAAATGCAGAACGGGCCGTTCCAAAAGAAGGAATATGCTTGTTTTTAAAGACCCAGAACAGGCCTGGAACGGGCCGTTCTGGTATGGAGAACGGGCCGTTCTGGAAGCAGTACGGGGCGTTCTGCTGAGATTGAGAACGGGCCGTTCTGGTTTCAGAACGGGCCGTTCTGCTTTTTGGGAACGGGCGTTCCGGTTTTGGAACGGGCCGTTCCAGTTGAGAAATTTGCCCACGTTTGAAGGATCCGGAACGGGCCGTTCCGAAATCAGTACGGGCCGTTCCGGTTGCGCCAGGAGGCCTATAAATAGGGGCAGGGGGGTGAAAATTTTATATTCAGTAAGAAAGTGAAATCCTAGAGAGAGAAAGAGAAGAGAGAGAGAGAGAAAGAGAGAGAAAAGGAAAAGAAAGAGGGGATCCAGAGGAGGAGGTCCTGCCCAAGTTTCAACTCCGCCTATCCAGGTAAGGGGGGGAGTGAGAACCTCGCTCAGGGGTGTGGGGATAATTGTTGGATAGTTGTTTGTCGGATTGGCCCCCAATCCCTTGCCGTTGTTCTGTCTGATTTTCTATTTACTCTATTTTGTTC